TATGATGAGAGTGCATGCCCCATTATGAGCCTGTGGATGAAATGCATGCTTATGTATAGTACGAGAGGACCACTATTTGTGCTAGTTCATCTCCAAATTATAATTACTTTAATGCTAATTAGATTATCTATATATACCTATATCTGGTGATATGATATGAAATTAAATTTAATTTGGTGAATAGTCTATTCCTTTTTGTGGTTTACATTACATAATATACCATGGTAGGTATAATCAACGGCGCAATCAAGGAATTTCTTTTTTTGGCTGCTTAGTATTTTTTTTTTATTCTTTTTCAATTCGGCTGGCCACATGGATGTTTGTAGGCAAAATTTTAAATTTGGTCCGTTTACTTGTGTAAAGTCCTTTTTTGGTATACTAATTTTCCTCTTATAAAAAATAGTACTGTATATTACAATTTGTATCATTTTTGGGACATTATTCATCAAAAACAATATATTATGTTGCAATTCGTATCATCATTGGGAAAAATTAATGTACCAAAAAAAGACTTTAAACAAGTAAACGTACAAAATTGAATTTTTGCCGATGTTTGTATGTCAAGACATTTCAATAGTGAATTAGTTGTTCACAAAAGTTTGGTTATTCATTAAGTTTTCCTGTTTATGAATTAGTCAATGAAAATTCAAATTATGGTTAGCTCTTTTGAATTAATCTCTATGATCTTCACTTGTTTGAAGGATTTAAATCTTTTGTAACTAATGATATATTTTTCTTCTCAGAACTAGCTAGTGGGGATAAGTTTATTATACTTGAATTTTGCCTGTTTTAGCAAAGCTAGCTAATAAGGATATTTTATGATAAAGCCAGATTATGATCTATTTGTAATTTCACAATCATAAGTATTCATAAGTGTATATATGTTCAATTAAATTTTATAATATAATTCATAAATAATTGTCAATTCAAATCGACAATAATGCTCCATAAATAGAGTTGTATTATTAGTTTAATTTATAATGATACTGAAATTAGGTACCCCAAACACATTCACTTTCGGTAGATAAGATCGAAAAATTCGATAGTTACAGATTTGGGTTTCAGATTTTTCAAACCTAACCGTTTGACCAAATCCCTATCGACAAAAACTTAATTAACAGGAGATTTAAAATATTGATTCTTTCAAAATTTCAAATGATTCTTTCAATTTTGACTTGAAGGGGTTTGAGATAAATTATTATATATAATCCCTTTTGACACAGTAACATATTTTATATATAGGGAAAAAAATGGAAAAGAAATCCAGGGAAGGGAGGACACATGGAATTTTAACGGTCGATTAGTTGGATAAAATATTTGTCAACCCAAAGTTGGTGTTTGATTTGTATATATAAATAAAAATTTCCAAAAAAGGGAGAAATTAATTAGAAAACACAATTAGTAGAGAAGTGATCAACTATTGCCATAGAAAAATTTCTTCTTAAATAGGAAGGAGATAACAATATAATGATGTGTTTATAAAAGTAGGCACACAAAATTGTTGGAGAACAGCAAGCATGCATATGTTCTTTTCACTAAATGTAGCATTGTTTTTCAGTTAGGAACTAAAAAGGAATGCATGTGACTCAAAAAGCGTGATATACCAGCTAGCAACTTTTATCGATTCTTAGATTGGGCCTATATAGCTATAGCTACCAAGCACGTCAACTTAACTTGTTCCTCTCGAAAAAATAGTAATTCACATTAAAATAATAATAATAATAATAATAATTAATATGCAGTTCTGAGTTTAAATTATAATAAAATCTCACCTATTTTGGTCTGCTTCACTAGTCACTACTAACATTTAAAATTCCATTTTATTATTTTTTTTCTCAATAGTCGAGTTTATACAGTGAGGCGAAAGGTAGTTACTACAGACATAAAACAAGAAATAACACAAATTTTTAAATGAATATGGACGTAATGAATTAATATTTGTGTACATTGCATTTTATCTATTTATATATATAATTGTTAGCTAAGCAATAAACATAGCATGGTAACATAAGATTTTCAATTTACCAACCAATTATTCTAACATACAAACCGTTACTTATCAAACCAATTATTTATAAATCACTAATAGTCTAATACATACTGCTATCAAAATCAGATATTACAATCTGCTATTACTTAACCACTAATACATTTAGATATACGTTATCCTATGTATGTATGTATATGTTTATTGGCATTGGCAAAATCTGAAAATGGCTCTATATGGTGTTAGCAAAGTAAATTAATTTGAAAGTTCTGAAGTTACAATGACTAATTTGACATCTTGGCCGCTAAGAGGAAAAGGTAACAATTTTGTCAAATATTGGAATATTAAAGAGTGAAATATTTTGAAATCTCTGTATTAAAGCAGGTCTACATCAAATAAAAGTTACTTCTCAGATCATAATTGCGCAAACTCGAAATGTCAAAACTATAGCAAAGCATATATGACTGAAATTGCGGTTTACAAAATTTCAGGACGGTATACAAACACTTTTAACTCAACCATTTTTTTTAACTCAACTTTAACTCAACTCAACTAATATTAATATTATTAATATAATTAAATAATATCAACCAATCATTCTTACACATTACATCAACCTTAATTCACTATTCATCCTCTCACATAATTTTAACTAACCATCACTTCAAATCATTTCTCTCATACTTTTACATTAAATCAATTTTAATTATTTTATTTTTAATATTATTTTAATATATCACTAACAACTAACCATACCACCTTTTTCAAAATTAACCAAACCAAACCAAAAAAATCCAAACAAATCCAAAATTAACATGTATTTGCAGGATTGGTGTTGCATTTTTCTTCTTGAACTTCAGAAAATCCTTCCTTATTATACTTTCATTAGCAACAATCATTGCTTAACTATCATCAAATATTGCGGTACCTTTAAGACTAGTGATTGGTATATTCACTAAAAAAAATTGTCATATTGAGAAACCAAATGCTGAAAATTATAATCGATATTTCAATGGTATAACTTCTGTTGAAATGATTCGAACGAAAAATTCAACAAAAATATTGTGTTGGAATGAGTTTTTCGTTGAAACTTTGTTGGAATTTGATGAATCCAACGACTATTTTTCCAACGGCTTATTATTTTAGAAATTTTCGTAGAGATTTCTATTTCCTCCAACATTTCAAAAGTTGAAAAATCTACCAAGTAATCCTCAAAGTCAAACGGAAATTCCAATAAAATATATTCGTTAGAATCATTTGAAAAATTTCAACAAAAATATTGGAATGTATGTTGAAATTGTTCTTGTAAAATTCAAACGGAGATAATAGCATTGCAACAGTTCATTGAAAATTTGAAAAAAAGGTAAGCCTTTTGTTAATTAGTTAGGTCTAACTGTTAAATTGTTCTTGCTATGGCATATAGTTTCATTAAAGAATATCATAATTAATAAATAATATAAATAAAATATTATAATATTTGATAGCATAGATATACATTTTTGTTTACATATATAGTACGTATGACTGAGTTCGACCAACCTAATGGTTAAAGTTGAAGACGTGTGAAATCAGTTAAAATGGTTAGTCAATTTCCTCTAGACTTTCATCAATTAGAAACTCTTTAAAAATATTTAAGTGCATTTCCCAACTCGCCCATTACTCTAAATAAATATTATTTTTATACTAGCTTATTGAGTAGCTTCTTTTAAATTATATTAAATTCTACTTAAATTTAAATCCGAGTTATTTTCAATTGTCCAAGACTGATGATAGAAGAGATTTTATATTGATTAATGGGCATACAATTCCAGGTTTCATATTCAGGGTACAATAATTACTTTATGCGGATAAAATTCTTTGCCACAAGCATAGTGTTAAGGTTAGTCTTATTTTATTGTTGCCTTTGACCATTTTGCAAAACCCCTTTCGGATCTTGGCCGGTTAAGACTTAAATAGGGAGATTTGAGCATAAATTAATAATGAAAATAACAATTCATAACCCGTGAATGATGGCATGATACTTATCTATATTGATCAATGACAATAATTCTCATCCTCACCCACTTTTCATCATAGTAATTAATATTTTATGTGTAATTTATACGCTAATATCGAATCAAATATTTCGAGGGCACGTTGATTTTTATTTTTATTTTGGACTTCTAATGGTATTAGTATTACTATTACACATGCCCTTTCTTTTTTCCTTTTTTAATTTTTTCTAATGGTATATTATATGTAATCATTAAACAAAATATTAGTAATAAAAGTCAAGTATATCAATTCATCAATTATTTGTATAGTTACTTGTAGTGGTCCTATCAACTACTTGGGATTGCAATCATTAATTTTCCTCATCCAAAATGGCAGAAGTCTTTAGAATTGCACTAAATGAGGTAGTGATGATATAGAATTTTGGTACCAATAAATTTCACCATCATTGTTTTAAATTGGAGCCTTTTGTATTGTATTTGTTCCAAGTCACACTTTGAAGACATTCCCAAATGCTTATTTTGAAGAGTCAATCTCGCACACCAAACCCACCCCTGAATATAATAATAAATATTAAAAGGACAAGAAAGAACAAAGAATAACCTAAAAAAAATGATAAAAAAGAAAGACAGAGAGTAAAATCAAACACGCATTTCTACTGTCAAACCTCGTTATAGCTCTAGTACTAACGTAGCCATATCATTTCTCATAGAGA